CCACAACATGCTGGTTCATAGGTTGACACTCAGCCACTGAGCCATGCCAGCCTGGCTCAGCTGGGTTTTTTAATGACACAGGCACCTAGTGTGAGGAGTGTATCGCAATGTGAAAAATCCTTCATTGCTCAAAACAAAGTGCGTCTCTCTTGCTCAGGAACAAATTCTTACATTCTCAAAGGATTTTTTTTAAAGGAAATTAGTCCCAAAATACTAGTTTTTGTCATGGGAGTGGAACATAGTCCATGGGGCGTTTTCTACTGGGTGGATTAAAAGATTTTAAAGACAGAACCTGTTTTCCTTCTATTTTCTCATAGTATTTCATTTCCATCTATCACCGCTTATCATGGCTAAATTTCTTAGCCATCCCCTTGAATTTTATATCTGTTTAATTTTACAGAATAAGGTTCCAAGGAGAAAAGAAGCTTCAACTTTCACACACATGGAAACAATGAATAAAAATTTAAATTTTAGATCTCTTTAAAAATAGCAGACCAATTTAGAAAAGTGATACAGCACAGGAGTGATAAGGGATACAGGCTTTGGATTCAGAGAGGCCTTAAAAATATTGGAATCCTATTTACTAGTTATGTGGTTGAAGGGAACTATTTAATTTATTTAATTTTTAAATATATTTTTATTGACTTCAGAGAGGAAGGGAGAGGGAGAGAGAGCTAGAAACATCAATTATGAGAATCATTGATCGGCTGCCTCCTGCATGACCCACGCTGGGGATCGAGCCCACAACCTAGGCATGTGCCCTGACTGGGAATCAGGAATCAAAACATGACCTCTGGTTCAAAGGTCAACACTCAACCACTGAGCCACACCAGCCAAGTGGGAACTTTAATTTTAAAACCAGGTGTAATATATTTTAGCGATAAAATGAGGTAAATAAGTGATTTTAAGGTATTTGTCATGGTAGCTGTCTGATGATAATAAGATAAAAATCAACAGCATCGGTGAGTGCTTACTATGTGCCAGGCAGTTTCTAAGTAGTGTACATGTATTACAGCATTTAATTTGCACAGAAACCCTATGAGATAAATTATTATTACCTCCATTTTATAGATGCAGAACCTGAGGCAGAGGGATTAATTTGATCAAGGTCATACAGCTACTAAATGAAAGGGCTAGGATTAAAACCCAGGTATTCTAATGTCCAGATTCTTAAAAATAAGTCAGTCTGTCCTTCTCCCTCTCTCTCTCCCTCTCCCTCTTCTTCTCCCTCTCCCTCTCCTCCTTCTCCCCTCCCTTTTAGAGAGTACTCTCGGATGCTTGGGGTCTCATTGTATCTAAGCTTCAGAAATTTGAATTCCTGTTGTAGAGTAAGAGTAAGTAATGAATAATTAGAACTCGGGTCCCCTAGAAGAGTGATATATCCTATATAATAAAAGCATAGCATGCAAATTGTCCCTTTGACCAGGAGCTCCGCTGGGAGTTCCACTAGGGGGCAGGGCTGGCCGGGGGAAGGGAGGGAGTTGGCAACTGCCAGCTGCTAGGGACCCTACCAGTGCACAAATTTCATATATATATATTTAAAATCATGTTTTGCTGCCCTTTGTTTCCCCATCACTTATTATGATGCACATAGGAGGCACTCAATTAATATTAACTGAATTGACCTAAACCGAAAAGAAAAATTCCCCTGCTTCATATACTAGTATAGGCCAATTTCTCTTGTGGAAGAGTCTAGATAACATCTGAAGAGAAAGCATTCCCATCTGGAGGCAAGGAAAAACAAATTCCCTCGAATTGACCGCTAAATTGCATTTCTCTTTCCAACCCCATACTTCACACTGGCGGAGCCACTCGAAGGAAAACAAGCTAGGCAAGCCCATCCATCAGCCAGGCAGCGGGCGCAGGCCAGAAGCAGATGAATCTTAGAACCCAGGCTTCAAGGGATGCAGAGGATGGAAGAAACAGTTGTGCAACCTGCGGCAGTGGGATTCCTCAGCTAATGACCCAGAGGCTGCTCACTAGGACATTTAAACTGTTAGCCAGCCATCTCACACTCCACACTCGTGTTTAGGTACGCCATGTGCCAATCCCTGATTTAGACTAGAGAGCTACAGTGTCTGCTAATGAGGATTCAGGGGCAGTTCCCGACAGTGTGTTTTGCCTTCTCACTCTTCCCCCCTTTTAGTACTTGACCCAAGAGCACCAGACAGAGGGAAGCAGCAAAGAGGTTGACGATATGCCAGCTCTAATGGAGAACTGTACCTCCTTAGCATTCCTCCGACTCTAATAGGCTTCCTTTATGAGAAAATAACACATTAGATTTCAATCATGGCAGGTTTTCCAAGCACTGAAACTGGGATAATATCATAGCCCCTTAGCAATTTGATTAGGAAATGGGTCCTGTTGCTATAAAAATACCTGCACTTGAGCCTGGTGTGCGGTACTGTGCTCCTGCAGGCTGGTGAGAGCCTCCTGTGTCCCTCTTCCTAAATACATCCAGGGGCTTCAGGTCGGTAGCCTAAAATCAGTCACGATGAGGGTACTTACACCAGGAAATTGGCCAACTCTACACATCTGAGTGTTGTGTTTTTATCCCTCACATTACTGCTAATAGAAGAAAGGTGCACAGACTCTTCATTAAGGCAATCTAAAAGTATATCTTGTTCAGCATAAACAACACCTCTAGCCAGTCAAGAGGGAAAAGTCCTGGCCTCCTAATAGCTACCTCACAGCCTGGGTGCAGAAGTCCTGGGTGAACTCACCTTCCCATCCTCTTCACAATACCTTGGAGCTCACACCATTGAGCTGGTGGTTCCCAAAAGGAGGGAAAAACCTATTCTAACCTTAATGTTTCATAGCAGAGGTTTATTATTTATAGGTGAGGTCCATTCAATAAAAACACCACCATGAAAACCATAGAAACCAATATTTTTTTTCAAAAACAGAATAAGGAATAAGATAGAAGGGAGAAATTGAAAACCTAAGCTAAGAGAAGCCACTGAAGTTGAAGCCACAACTCAGATCCCTGGAAGGCAAGGGATAAAGGTAAAATAGGAAATCTCCTTTTGTATCTGAGATCTGATCTAACCTTCAGAAAAAGCAACCTTTGCCTTCAGCTCTAATATGCATTTTCCAAACGAGGCATTAAGTAGCATAACACACTGTGCAATAACCCAAACTGTAGATAGTAAGATAATTATAGTATCATATATATGCTGAAGACAGAATATACAAAATGAAGATCCTATCATGTTTTTTGGTTGTTTCTTTTCTTCCTTCTTCTTCTTCTTCTTCTTCTTCTTCTTTTTTTTTTTTTTTACTATAACCAGACTAGCTTTAGACCACCCTTGATTATCCCACTCGGCTTGCAGCCTTTAGGAGACATGCTATAGAGCTGATTAAAAAGGAAGTGCAAAGAAGGGGAGAAAAGTTCATGTTGGGAGGAAAATAACAAGGAAAGCTCCATGGAAGTCCTTACAGGGATTCTTTCAAGAAGTTAGAAAAAAAAATAGTGAACTGAAATTGTAGTACTCTCATTGCTGTCCATCTCCCAGCTCTGCCACTTCTCAATTTATACTGGTCAGCACACAGAATAAGGATAAGAATTTGTTTATAAAAAAAATGGAAGAGTCCTTAAAGAAGGGTATTTGACCACAGAATAGAATCACTGATTCCTAGAATCAGGCTGAACCTTAGGGACAGTTTTAAACATCCTCCTGCTGAAGAAGGAGTCCTCTCCTCACCACCATTGCCCGGTCATCATCCAGGCCTGAACGGTGTCAGGCACAGGGAACGCCAGCACTTTGGGGGGTAGCTCTCACTGTCAGGACTTGTGGTCTTATGCTGATCACAAATGAACATTTCTGTTACTTATGCCCAATGGTTCAGCCTCCACCCTCTGGGTGACACCAATGCTGTATTTTCCTTCTGACAGCCCTTGAGGTGTAAAAGGTAAATCCCCTTAACTTTTTCTTCTCCAGGTTAAACATACTCATTCCCACCAGCCATTCAATGCTTTCCAAACAGACTCGGGAAGAACTGAACAATGATTTCCAGAGGCATAACATTTACTTATTTTTACATATTATATTTACTGAAAGTTTAGAATTAACCTATTTTAATTAATTGATGGTAGTTAGAGCTAGTTTATTTGATAGTACATTTTTAGGATTTTAGGTTACTTAAAATGTACCAAACTTTGGAGCTATATTAAACATAATTTATCCTTTCTTTGATATTTCAGAAAGTATAAGATTCCAGAAAACATCAAGGCCACCTTATGGCTATATTTTTTTATTGCAAAACAACCATAGAGAAGCACTGCTAAAGTGAATGTTCTGGCTAATGAAATAAAACTTTCTTTACCGATAACCTAGGTTACCAGGTAGTTTTGTTGTGGTTTTGTTTTTCATTTCAGTTCTCTTCTATTACATCATTGACGCTATTCAATTTTTCTTTAACTTTAATCAACACATAAGCTTTTACTCAAAGCACAAAATCCCATTGCATCCGCGAAGACAGAGTAATTTGCAACCGAAGAGCACAGAAAATCCTTACTCTCATTTCATTTTCTCTCCTTGTCAAAATACTGTTTATCAAGAAATTGCTTAAAATTAAATAAAAAGGTAGAAAGTGTTGGAAAAGTATGACTCTAAGGTGTTTTCATGTTATACCTATTCCCATCATTTTGTCTGAGACCAGGAAGAGAGATGGGAAAAGACCATTTGAACAAAACCTTGATGTAGTCCTGGGCTTCTTAAACCTGAGGTTCGCTTCATTCCCCTTTCAATTATTCACCCGGGGCTGTCCCTAGCCCATTCTCAGCACCTAAACAGATTTTCCAGACCTTCCCACAATCACAGGAACCGCCCTGTGTCAGGATTTTCATGTAAAGCCTCCAAGCCACAGAAAGCAACCACTCAGCAACCACCGTCCACTGTTGTGTTTGTTTAAAAGCCTCATTTTATCAGGCCCACAAACATCGCCCTTAGCAAGGCAGACCCACCGCGGCCACCAGCTCTCAGCCCAACCAGACTGACCTTCAGAGGAGAGATGTGGGACTGCAAGACGTAGCCATGGACATTTTCTATCTGCGACAGGTTCTTTTCTGACACGTGCACGAGCTCAGGGCCTCTCACTTCGTGGGTCAGTCGAGGTAAGGAATGATCATGTGGAGCGTCCTCATCTTGGTATCTATACTTCTAGGTGGAAAGGCAAGAAAGAAAAACAGCATTAGTGTTCGCAAAGGGTACAGTCCTGAACGTCACATTCTAACCTCAGTGGCAGGACACAGTGTACCTGTCATTGACATCCCCAAACGGGCGTTGCTGCAGACTCTTTTGGTGGTCACCATACACCAGGTCAAGTGCAAGCAAAAGTGAACCAGCCGTCAAAATCGACCAAACCTGATGAATTGCTTTTGCCTGACAACGCAGTATCTCCACGTGTGGGCTGTAGAAGGGTGCTGAGGGGACGGGCTAACACAAGTGGCTTGTAGGTAGAGGCACGTGCTTGTTAAGAACTGTTTAAACCAGTGGTTCTCAACCTTGGCTGCACATTAGAATCACCTGGGAATCCTTTTAAAATCCTGATTTCTGGGCCTCATCCTCCGAAAATTCTGTTTCTTTGTTACTAATGTTGTGGCCCCACCCCATAACAAAGAAACAGAATTTCCAGAGGATGAGGCCCAGAAATCAGGATTTTCAAAAAGATTCTAATGTGCAGCCAAAGTTGAGAACCACTGGTTTAATCCAAAGCAGTAAACAACTTAATGGGCCCACTTATTCTTTTCAGGTGATAGGGGTCAGCTTGTTTCCTAAAAACAGTGTCGGTCATGTTAAGTACCAGGAATCATTTCTCCTAAGAATTCTATGTACCACTTACAACCCAGCTAGTAAAATATTAGTTTGCTTTGCTTTGCTTTTGTTCTCTGTGAATGATACAGGGGTATTATGGGCTGGGGTCCAAATACTGTCATAACATCGTCTCAAGCTTAACTGTGATGTCTAACCTTACCCCAGTACCCCATTATTATCACCAACAGTTATTTTTATCATGTCATGTTGCCAACAACATGTTTTCTTACAAAATCGTGCCTGCATTTCTTTAATTTTTTAGGTGAAAATATGACTTTTTTGGATATCAGCTCTCAGTCTGACTCATAATCTGAGTAATAAGAAGGGTTGGCAATTCAATCTGTTGTCCACTTTTACTCAGAAGTTGATTATCATTACTTGTATTTCCCAAAAAGGCCTTCTACAAGTTCTAAGCTTAATATTAATTTCTTTTTTAAAAATATTTTTTATTGATTTTTTTACAGAGAGGACGGGAGAGGGATAGAGAGTTAGAAACAAGGATGAGAGAGAAACATCGATCAGCTGCCTCCTGAACACTCCCTACTGGGGATGTGCCCGCAACCAAGGTACATGCCCTTGACTGGAATCGAACCTGGGACCCTTGAGTCCGCAGGCTGACGCTCTATCCACTGAGCCAAACCCGTTAGGGCTTAATATTAATTTTAAAACAAAACAAAAATACAGCACACAATATGTTGACTATAGCTTGCAAAGGACTCTCATCTGTTTCTTCCATTGCAATCCTTCTTACCCTGGATGCTCCATTTTTCTTACGATAAAACTGACACTCAGAGAGGTTCAGAGACTTGTCCGGTGTTACCTAAGTAATGGGCATCAGAGCCGGAACCCTGTCCAGTTGATTTAAATCTGAAATCTCTCGCTACAATCATCAAACCCTCCCCACTCCCATGAGGTGATGAAGCCCATGTCTGATAACTGAATCGACAATTTGGTAGCTAACACCTCTTTGAGAGAGAACACACTTCAGAATGAGGTTAGAGCAGGGGTGGGCAAACTTTTTGACTCGAGGGCCACAATGGGTTCTTAAGCTGGACCGGAGGGCCGGAACAAAAGCATGGATGGAATGTTTGTGTGAACTAATATAAATTCAAAGTAAACATTATTACATAAAAGGGTACGGTCTTTTTTTTTTTTAGTTTTATTCATTTCAAACGGGCCGGATCCGGCCCACGGGCCGTAGTTTGCTCACGGCTGGGATAGAGCATTTCCGTGAACTGCACAATGCCATCCGTCTGTTTTCTTGGCCCTATGAATAATTTGGGAAGGTAATCTGCCTCAGAAACATGGATCTAGTTTAACATTCATTCTTGATCAGTTATGTGTTCATTGGGAGTGGGAGAATGTCGTGCATATGCCCGGTATACAGTGTCTGGACCTTCAGCCCATCTACCCCCCACACCTCCTCCCCCTCTTCAGTTCTCTCTCAGGGAGGCTTTGCCACCTATTCAGTTATCCAAGCCAGGAAAGTAGGAGTCATTCTGACTCCATCCTCTCTTTCACCCCCCACCATCTGCCAATTTAATAAATCACTGAGTCTGTCTAATTTATTATCTTGAATCTACTCCATCCTCGTCCCCCACCACCACTAACCTACCCACTGTTCTGCCCACATTCAGATTCTCATCAGTTCTAAGCTGGCCACCAACAGCCTCTGGGCTGGCTAGGCTGCTGCTGAGGTTGCCCCTTGCCCATCTATCCTCTAGCCTGCACCAGGGGCCTTTCTGAGTCACAAACTAAGAAAGTCCTTCTCTTTACAACCCTTAGTGGCTCCCACCACCCACAGGGCAGAGCTTAAGCTTCCTTATCCTGTCACAAGCCAACCCCCATCACCACTACATGAGCTGAGCCTCATTACTTTTGAACTCTTATTTCACCAACCCAACTCAGGATAATGGAGTAAATATTAGAAATCATTACTTTCATTTTTAAAAGCTTTTTAAAAAATTGTGGTAATATACACATATCATAAAATTTACCAGCTTAAGCATTTTTAAGTGTACAGTTTAGTGACAGTAAGTATATCCACACTGGTATATAACCAATCTCCAAAACTTTTTCACCTTGCAAAACTGAAACTCTCTCCCCATAAAACAAAAACTCCTCATTTTCTCCTCCCCCAGCCCTTGGTAACCACCACCATTCTACTTACTATTTCTATGAATATGACTACTCTAGGCACCTTATATCAGTGGAATCATACAGTATTTGTCTTTTTATTGCTGGCTTATTTCACTTAGCATAATATCCTTGTGCTTTATTCATGTTGTAGCGTGTGTTAGAATTTCCTTCTTTTCAAAGGCTAAGTAATATTCCATTGTATGCACATACCACATTTTGTCTACTCATTCATCTGTAGATGGGCAGTTTGGTTGATTCTACCACTTGGTTATGCGAATAATGCTGCTATGGGCCTGGGTATACAAATATCTCTTTGGAACTTTGCTTTCAACTCTTTTGGATAGATACCCAGAAGTGAAATTGCTGGGTCATATGGTAATTCAATTTTTTGTTTCTTGCAGAACTTTTTAAGCTTTTTAAGAGTAAACATATGTAAAGACGTATTTATGTCACGCATAAAAATCTGAAACATAAAGATCCAAGGGTACCATAAGTAAAATTTTGCAAAGTTCAAATGATTACTGTGGTTCCTCCAGGATTACTGTAGTAGGATTCAGCTGATTTAGAGAAAGGTATTATCCATAAAAGTATACATCTCACTGACTGGTTTGGATAAAATAAATAAATAAATAAATAAAACAAAAAACTATCATAATACAGATAATAAACTTAGTTGAACATATGTGGTGTCACAAGGAAATTATTTTAAGTCATTTCCATAAATCTAAGGTCCAGTTCAAAGACTGATAGGGCCTCAAATTAGACTACAGAAACCAATCAATATTTTATTAGTAAATTTGTTCATTTTAACATTCATTGATCCTTTAGGCCCAGCTTTCACATTCCTTTTCTGGAAAGGTTTTGTGAACTGAAAGCCTAGATTGTGTGGGTGTTTCTATAGCTCCCTATACTCCCCCAATCACTGCTTTTATAGTGCTATCTGGTTACATAGTTTTTGTTTGTCTGTTTGTCATTGAACCATAAGATTTTGTGAGAACTGAGATCATTTAGGTCTTGTTTATCCTCATGTCTCCAGTTCTTAGCCAAGTGCCTGGCAAATATGCTCAATAAATATTTTTTGAATAAAATTATACATGACAATTGAACAAATGGATCAACTAGGCATGAGCTGCTTAAGCTACAAAGGTATTCTGGATGCCAAATACAAACTGTTTTCATTGCAAAACATTATGATTTCAAGTTCAAGCAAAAAAAGTTAACCACATTATTTGCTTGACACAACCTTAAAGAACATCAGATCCTTAAGTATTATATCTCTCTCTCATCATTCCTTTCAAGTAATTAGATGTCTGACAAAATATAGCAGGCTAGTTGTTAAGTTGATAATTTTGTACAGATCCAAATGGCCTTGGCAGAGAAAAGGTTCCCTATCCCTGTTCTAAAGGAACAGTGAGATCATGAAATGGATTGTAGCAGATGCTATTGTCCCCCCGCCCACCACCACCACCACCTAAATCCTTGGAAATCCCTTTCACACATTCAAGGCCCACATCTATATACTTCACACTTCTCAGGAAGCTTGCCCTTGGGATTGAAGCCTCCTCATTTAGGAGGACTGGGAGTTAAGCTGGAACTCGCAACTCCCAAACCTCAAAGTGAAACAAACCATTGGGCTTTGAATTCCACTCCCAAGCACCTGACAGGATCACCCTGAAGCTAGACAGCACCTGAACCTACATTCTTGGAGAACTCCTGGTTGTTTTCCTCACTCCTATAAGCATTTCTCCTGGGAACTGCCCTGCATAAATCATGCTCACACTAATCCCCATGCTAGGTCTGCTTCGGGTGAGCCTGCTAGAGATCTGGATGCAGCCTGGGATGTGAGATGTGAGTAGAGTGTGGCAGTAGACAAGCCTGAAAGATAGCGTATTGTAGACAGCAGGTAACTATCCAGGAGACCTAAACAGACTCTCCCTGGTGCCAATCTGTATTCCCTCCCTTTTCCCCAATTTTCTGTGAGTGATGACTAAGTAAGAGAAGACAAGAACTGGTGAGAAGTGCCACATATAACTCACAAGGAAGTTTCCAAAGAAATAACCCAGGTATCACATAGTAGAATCTTTGCTAGGGTTAACTTTGGCTAAACCAAAAATGATTTTTTCACTTGTAATGCTAAGACTAATATTAATATTAACACTAATGTGACATTAAAAGAAACACTAATCCTAACACTAATGCCAATATCAACCAGTAAAAATAGCAGTTAT